CTATCAACACATCTGTAATAAAAAAAATCTCATTAGACGGTTTTTCAGTGATATATAAAATAACACAGATATACATGTACTTTAGTAAACATACATGTTTCAAAGCAATGACACTCTAGTACTAAGAGTACACCTGGTGCTCACACCTTGAATTCTTAATTCTCTAAAAGTAACTAGAGTTCTTTGGAGAAAGCCAGGGCTGGGACAGGGAAAGTACATGTTAAGACTGGAGCATCTTTTTATGCCAAAAGGTAAAACGAAGTGCCAAAAAAACAAACAAACAAACAAACAGGCAAGAAAGACGTCAAAAAGGATGCAAGAGACAATTTCAAAGGGCTCTAAATGGCCTTGGATAATGTGAACTGCAAAGTAAACAATGGTTGTAATGAATTATAACCCACAGAATAAGAATTCGAGTTCATACTGATACATTAAAACAACAACATAAATGGGGAGAAAGAGAAGTTCTTCCTTACAATAGAATTCCAACTCATAAAGGTAGAATAATGGAAAGAGAAAATCATTTGGTTAACATCACAGTAATATTTTTTTTCAGGTAATATTCATCAGTGGATGCTAAAATTAGTGTATTATCAAAAACTAGCGTAATTTTAAAAAAGAGGATATTTACAAAATCTCAAGGTACCTCCCCCTACAAGGAATCCATTAACTACAAAAAGGAAAAAAAAGAAGAAGAAGAAAGAAAGAAAGAAATCTTAGAGAAAAGAGGCAGATAGCACCTTAACCAAGTGATGAAAGTATACATCGCCATGTGCTTTCTGATATGGTGCACTAAAAATGATACATCAGTAAGACTGTAATCCTGGACTGGATCTTGGACGAGATAAAGGACACTACTGAAATAAATGGCAAATTTGCAAAGGTTTGCAGATTATACTATTATATCATTGAATTTCCTGAATTTATAATTGTACTATGGTTATATAACATGCTAACATTTGGAAAATCTGGCAGAAGGATATATGGGATTCCCTTTTACAATTTTTGCAACTGTTTCATAAGGCTAAAATTAATTTTAAAATTTGAAGCTTAAAAAAAGGTTAAAGGAAAGTCTCATGAATAAGCAGTACACAGAGAACTGTGTATATATGGTCGGCACATGTAAATACTCAAAACAGCTATTAATTATTATAATTTTCCAAGTTTATTCAGCCTCCTGACTTCTTAGTCACTCTTTTAATAAATATTTTAGAGTTCCTACTTTATGTCCATAAAACAGAAAAAGGGAGGAAGGAAAGAAGTAAATAGGTAACTGAGGCAGTCAGTCACTAACAGATTCTTAACACAGCTAGGGTTGGTCATTTCAAATATGCTTTCCCTCTTTCCAACTTTTGAGTTGGAGAAATTTCCAACTGAGGATTCCTTCCCTTTTTCCAACTGAATTCCAAGGCCTACTTAATTCTTGCTCTCTATTTTCCATGCTCCTGCTCCTACTGTTATCAAAATGCATATATTCTAAAAACATGGATCAAATCTCAGCTATGTGATTTTGCCCATAACTTAATGTCTCTGATCCTTTCCATTTCTTTCTTTATAAAACTAGGATTGTTTTGAAGATTAAGTGGAAGCATGTGGCTGGGCATGGTGGTGCACGCTTGTAGTCCCAGCTTCTCAGGAGGCTGGGGCATGAGAATTGCTTAAACCCAAGAGGTGGAGGCTGCAGTGAGCCATGATCACGCCACTGCACTCCAGCCTGGGTGAAAGAGAGAGACCCAGTCAAAAAAAAAAAAAAAAGAACATGTAAAAATAACTGGCACATAGCAGATGCTCACAACATATTAGTTGCCTTTCCTTTCAAATTATATTCTCTAACTTCTGCAGGATCCTGAAGTGTAGTTCAAAAATTTTTACTAATCTCTAGGAGAATCCCTGTTCTATTTCTTTGCTTTACCCATTCTACAGATTATTTACTGAAAATCCAATTAGCTAAAAGATATGCATAACTTCTGTTCCCCAAATATCAGATCAATAGTTCTAACTGCTTTTCCAAATACTACCTATATTATTCCACCACGCCAACCTTGAACTCGATTCCAATACCATGCTCTATGCTGCCACCTACTGGCTATTACCACACTCTCCAGATAGTTCCTCCTTTATAATCTAAAGCCAGCCTTAAAATGCAAGTCTCAATCCAGTGAATATAATTTCAAAAAAATAAAATAAAAAATAAAAAGATTTAGTTCCTAGATTCGAGTCCTTCTCAGACAAGATGCTCCAAATGACTAGAAAGAGTTCCAATATAAACACTTTTAAGTCTAACACAACTAAAGAAATACTGTATATCTGACAATTCACATGATATAGGCTTTCTCTTTTCCTATTTTCTATTACAAATGTATGAATTCTCTGAAAATAAAAAACGCCAAAGAAAGGAGGTATAGTATCCAATGGAGAAAAACAGCTTTCGCAGAACCAGTTGAGTTGTCAAATGGAAATATTATTTATATTTAGAAAACCAACTAAAAACTGTAGAACTACAAACAGGACAACAGTTGTTTTAAATGCTTCATCGTTTCATGACTTTCTCTATCTGTATTTCCTTCTAAAAATATTCACACAAGCCAGTGTGGAGATGTGCATCTGTAGTCCCAGCTACTTGGAGGGTTGAAGAAGCAGGATCACTTAAGCCGTAGAGTAGTTCAAGTTCAGCCTGGACAACACAGTGAGACCCTATCTCTTAAAAATTCATATAATATTTTACCCTCATATAGCAAAGGAAAACTCTCAATCATATCACAAGAATATACTGTATACAACTACCAAGCATAGAATGACTCTCTTCCTTATCGTAAACTGAAAAACTAAAAAAATTAGTAACTGTTTTTTCTTTTTATTCTTCAAAAGTTCCTATTAAATGGCTTGCTCAGTAAATAGCCACAAGACGTGTGCACGCACACGTGCACACACACAGAGTTTAAAATTATGAACTTCAACTTCACTGGAAGTTTAACTCAAAACCATGCTGCTTTACTTTCTAGTCTCTCGTTTTGGAGCCACATTAAGTTTGAAAAAATCTTCCTCAATTCAACAAAAATAGGCTATTCCAAACACAGCAACAACGTTTTCATGTAGAAAACAACAAAAAGAAGCCATGAAAGAACATTAAGAAGCTTTTAAGTTGGCTACATGTTGGCTTTCAAATTTTAAAGCAACTTGCCAACAAGGATAAATAGTGATACAATGGTTATATGCAGGGGTACAAGGAAACATACAGCATAGTCTATCTAGTCTTTGGCAGTTGACAATGTAGTCAGGAACAAAAGATTCAAACACAGAAACAGATAAACAAAATAAGGCAGAATATTAACTGACAAGTAATTGGCACAGATAATATTTACAACAGTGTGAAAGGTTGAAACAGCAATAGGAGCAGAGGAAGGGTGGGGCTTAAGAGTAAAAGCAAGGGAATTTCTAGCTATAGAGAAAGGGTATGCTATGGTGTAGTGCAAACACTAGTAAAAAGCATCTTGTTTAAATGATCAGATCAGTTTAGCTGAAAGAAAATTGTACAGAAAGAAAAGTGTATTAAAATGTGGAGGGTACTGTGGCACTGTTAGGCTAATGAATCAAAAAGACAATGAGAAAGTCATCGAAGACTATAAGGTAACATTTCTACACTATTTGAGGGGTGAGGGTTGGAAGTAGTTTAACCTTGTAGAAATATTTAAGAGACTGAAGAAAATTAAGATAGAACTATAGTAGTAACTGTGGAAATGAAAAAGAATAAAATTCATTATCAGGAAAAAACTGATAAAATCTGGTCAATGATTTAAGTTAAGAGTGCATAGGGCAGAAGAAAGTGTTTCCAAGGCTTTAAAACAGGGAACAGAAGTACCATGAAAAAAAAAAAAAAAGACAGTAAACCATTATTAATAAATGTTTCCAACAAGTGAAATGTTTTCTAAAGCAAAATTGTTTATGTTTAAAACAAAGCAATAAAACAACAGATACACAAAGGTTCAGCCAATTTACACAACTGAAAATAATAGCATTCATGTCCAGATATTACGAAGAAATGTTTTAAAGTATAAACCATAGTACATCATAAATCTACATGAATCAGTAACTGCTTGATCTAGACCTACATTACCATTTTTTTCTTTTTTTACTCCTCCGCCCCCCTTTTTTCTTTCTTTTTTATTTTTTTGTTACCATTCTTTTTGCACTAAAAATAACTCTGATTCATTGAATTACCACACATTTTATTTTTAAAATAAACACAACAGTTTTTATTATTATTTTTTTAAATAGAGGTGGGGTTTCGCCATGTTGGCCAGGCTGGTCTCGAACTCCTGACCTCAGGTGATCCACCTGCCTCGGCCTCCCAAAGTGCTGGGATTACAGGCATGAGCCACTGCGCCCGGCCTGGGGTATGGTTTGAGACCTAGTTAATTACTCTGCTAGTGAACTACATAAATAAAACAATGCATGGGCCAGGCACAGTGGCTCATGCCTGTAATTCCAGCACGTTAGGAGGATGAGGCAGGCAGATCACTTGAGGTCAGGAGTTCAAGACCAGCCTGGCCAATACGGTGAAACCCCATCTCTACTAAAAATAAAAAATTATCCAGGTGTGGTGGTGTGCGCCTGTAATCCAGCAGCTCGGGAGGCCGAGGCAGGAGAATCGCTTGAACCCAGGAGGCAGAGGCTGCAGTGAGCTGAGATGTTGCCATTTCACTCAAGCCTGGGCATCCCAGCATGACTCCATCTCAAAAAAGCAAAAAAAAAAAAAAAACCAAAGCAACAGCAACAATTTAAAAATGCATGGTATGATATAGATTTCTTAATAGGTTAATCAACAGGATGGAAGGAATTGAAATGGCAAAACCCAGAGTTACCGTCAAACTCTTTCATAATTAAGTATAAACCCATACCTTTTTTTTCCTACAATCCTCCAACAAAGTAATACAACGTTTTAAGAAATGAAAACTTTAAAGTACTACACTAAATAAAAGTTCCTCAAGCTTCTTGGTTACCTTTACTTTATCTCTTCTCAAGCAACAGAATAAACAGTTTTCATCAAAAGTCCAATCAGAAATGCTTTCAGGTTCACAGTCTGCAAAAAAATAGTAACAAATTAATAGTCAAAAAAGATAATTTTTCAGAAAATAAATTAGAATTAATTTCAAAATACTGTTTAACAAAAACCTAAGTAGTTGGGCCATATTTGTCTTAAAATTCTTAACTCTCAAAATTCTTAAGTTCTCAACTGCTCACTAGTTAATACATCATAAATACATACATTAAAAATATCAACTGAACACAAAAAGACGCTTACATGAATACAGTTTTAACTCACATGAAACTGTGAATAAATAGGAGACAGGCTTAAATCACCAAGGTATCATGTATGTCACCAGGAAGAATTTGAAATACCAAAAATTTTTTGAATACCTTTAAATAAACTGAGATCTTTTAATAATGCAGGTCCAAACAGCCCTTCAAGAATACTTTCAAACCCTGAAAGGATAAAAACAAAATCCATTACCAACAATAATATTCACTCTGGTATTGAAAAATCTTTGCATAAAAAAATAATGGTGTTTTCTTCCAGTTCTCAAGGATCCTGGATTACTATTGAAGGGATGCTTAGAAAAAAAGAGTGTCAACGGCAAATCTACAAGTAGCCTTTGCATTTCTGTCAATGATTAACGTTCAACACAAATTCTGAGCACATTCAAGAACAAGACCAATGAAGGAATAGAAATTCACAGGTTCTCCTACCATTTTACAAAACCCCAAACACCTCTTTGTACAAACTCTCAGGCTCTATTTTAAAAGGTACTTTTCTCAATGAATGAATCAAACTGCTTCAAAAATTTCCACAACTTACTAAATTATCTAAATTGTGTTTTTTCGAATACCAATTGAGACAAGAGATTTTTTGAGTTAACAGTTTATGAAATCTTCACTGAGAAAAACTACATCACACACATACAAGCTACAACATATATATATTTTTTAAGACTTCTGCAACTATTTAACACTGCCACAATAACTATGTGCTGGTTCCTTTATAAATGTAACCCCTACTGATTATACTTACCAAAAAAAAAAAAAAAAATTGAGAGAGAAAAAAAATCCAATATACTTGTATACAAACATTTAAACTATTATGTCCTTTTGCCAGTGTGAAAGTAGAAAATGAAAAAAATCAAAAACTTGTTTTTTCTGGCTTATTACCTCAAATACTGGTGATCTACTCCATGATAAATATCTTTGCCATCTAGCAATTTTTTATGGGTCAAGAGAGTAAGAAAATAAGAGCAGGAATCAGACTGTATCTTTAAACAACATACCAGGAATAATGGATTAAAACAGTGGTTCCCAAAATGTGTGCCATGGACCTCACTGAGAACTCAAATGGTTATTACAAGGGGTCTATGAATTGTATGTACCCTCACCTCAGTGTGGCCATGTCTTGTTCTTGCAGTATACATACAACTTTTCAAATGCAAGAGCATGACACTACAACAAAGTAAATATAAAAAGTGTTACTGAATTCCTAGCAGCTTAGGGCACTGTGTATTTTGCAACATTATCTGTCACCTAGAGGCTTGTGATTTTTTAATTGTTAAAAAGCACTCCCATGCTTAAAAGATAAGGTACCACTTTATTTAAAATACTACAGCCTGCTGGATACGTTAAGGCCCCCTCGCATCTATCAATTCTTTACCACGAATACAATCACAAAAAAAGATTTAGAAGGAGGTAGAATTGATGGCCTCTGAAAATGGTTATTTTATCTGGCTATAAGAAGATGGTAATGTAAGGGATTTCTTTGCCTTAGTATTAAGCCATAACTTTTAGTAATCTCTAGTTTACCTACACCGTAATGAGAGAGCTGGTTTTTCTATACTACATGATATTTCCTACATTCCAGATTTTTCATTTATTGTTAGGGAGCAATTATTTTTCAACTCTCTTTACTTCCCATCGAAATTATTCCAAGGACATTAGCAAAATCAAACTAACCACTCAAACAAATGGGAGGTATCTATGTTTATTATTTACCTACAAAAATTAAAACATTTTCCACTGAATTGTTGGTTCCTTCTCTTCCCCACACTAGGTAGGAAAAAGGGTTTAGGGTAGGGCCGTGGGGGTGGGGAGGCAGTAGTAAGAGAAGAGAAGAAACTGCTAGATACTGTCTATCTTGGCCCTGCAGACCAGATATTTTCAGAACACTCTCGACAAAAAAAATAAGTAACTCCCACAGCCTATCTCCAATTCTTAAGCCCTCCTACCTGCCCCCACAAAGAGAAATTCTGATTTTACAAATAAAGTATTTCAACATCTTGAAAATATCATATACATACTTCAAATGGCTAAAGGAAATCATTAAGTAGGTCTTATCCTGAAGAGCAAATCTAATATTCTTTAGCCTAGGTTTACATTAAATTTTAACAAATTCCAAATCTGCAGGCTGACCATAAATTCTTGAAAAGGAAAAAAGTAAATATGCCAGGAAAGAAAAATGCAAATGAAAGCTCTGGGAGATAAAAATTTTAAAGAAGAACGGAATTTGATACAAGAAAAAAAAATGAGCAGAACATCAATAATACTAACAAAAACTGAGTCATAAATCAAAATGCAATCACAAAGAAAGAACAAAAGCAAACACAAAAATCTGGTCATAAACACAAAGATTTAATCACAACTAATTTTGCTCAAAATAGCAACTGTAAACAAGTCACTCCTCTTTTGCTCATACCTGCAACAATACATTAAACCTAACAAATATTATTGATTTGATACCATAAAGTCCTATTTTGCTACTCTCTGTTCACTGGATGTTAATGCTGCTCAGTTTTATTAATACTAAATATTGAATTTAGCAGTTGCATAGCAACAGGGAATGTCTCATGTGCTATGCTTGACATTAACAAAAGACAAATAAGGGAAGAACAAATATATTCAAAATTTATACCATGATATCACCTAAAAGCCAGAAAGATCAATAACAAAATGCCACGGAAAACTAAATACTGAAAAAGACAGCCATGCCATTATGTTCAATCACTAGGGCTTTAAAACTACCTTTTCATATCCCACACGAAGAAAAATTATTTATTTTATGAAGTTGACTACTTTTGAAAGAATTCCTATCCAACATCACAACTGGTTTTCAAGGTTGATCTCTAGTTTCCTCTTCACTGCAATCTGCACCATGTCTTCAGACTATTCCTAAAACACTGCTTCAATGATGCCAATACCTCTTCAAAGTTTATGCTGCTTAAAGAACAAACTCCAAATTCCAATTCAGCAATAACTGCTTATAATTTGACCCTATCTACTGTTAGCTGGCTTGCTTACCAGAGCTTTCCTGCTCATTCCCACAGCTCTGGTCAGGATGGTCTTCTGTTGCTTTCAGTGATCATGTCTACTTCCTAATACTTTCTCAAGCTTTTGCATCTCACCTCTGCTCAAATATAGTATTTCTCTCCTTCAAGATACTCTTCAAACTGTTCAACAAATATTCATTTCTTCGACATATACTGAGTCTATCATCTGCCAGGGAATGCTCAACAGGCAGTGTTGAGCAGACATGTTACCTGCCCTCATGGATCTTTAGTTTCCAGTTCTCTCATCCTCAGAATTCCCAGATCGTTGTTCGATTTTAAATAAAAGTCAGTTGCTTAGTGTCTTCTTTGCTTTCTATCATTCACAAAAATAAAATTTGTCAGGCTATCTAAACCCTATGTTCTCATTTTTCTTTTTGTTCATTTATGTCTTGTCTCCTCAAGGAGAATTAATGCTCCAGGAAAGCTAGGAAGCAATGTTTCTCTTACAGGAACAATGTTTCTCTAACAGGAAGGCTTTACATGCCTACTTTTGGCTTCTGATTCAATCACACAGCTCTCGAAAACAGAAGATAGAAGACTAAAACTCTCCCACAAATATCCCCCTTCAATCTAAATCACAATCCATTTCCAACCAAAACTGGTGAAACAAGCTATAAAAAGTAACAGAATACGAATATATCAAATACAAAGCTAACTAAGGTCAGCAATACAGACTGTTCTTTTGGAAAAAAAATTAACAGAATGAAAAAGTGGTTTATAGGTCTTGGGAACCTCTCCTCTGAGATACCTGTATAGAGACTAGTAGTTTGAGAGACGTGCTAAAGGAAATGTAGTAACATATCCGAAAATTAGCAATTTTTACAACAAGGTCCCCTGGATCTTGGACTCAGGCTCGTACTGAGCTTGGTGCTCAATCTTCAATAAAGTACAGTCACATGCCATATAACAATGTTTTAGTCAAGGATAGACTGCCTATACCACAGTAGCCCCCTAACATTATAATGAAGTTGATAAATCCCTACTGCTTGGTGATTATAGCCATTGTAATGCTGGACTGCAATTACTTTATTCTTAGATAAATTTAGTGTAACCTAAGTGTACAGTATTTGTAAGTCTACAGTAGTGTTCGGCAACGTTCTAGGCCTTCCTGTTCACTTACCACTTATTCACTGACTCACCCAGAGCAACTTCCAGTCCTGCACTCTCCATTAATGGTAAGTGCCCTAACCAGGTGTGACAATTTTTACTCTACCTTTTCTATGTTAAGAACACCAATACCACTGTGTGACAATGATGGCAAATATTTCCTACAGTATTCAGTACCATAATGTGCTGTACAGGTTTGCAGCCTAGAAGCAACAGATTATACCAAATAGCCTAGGTATGCAGTAGGATATGCCATGTAGGTTTGTCTAAGTACAGTTTATGTTGAAAAGTGATGAAACTGCGTAACAATGTATTTCTCATAATGCATCCCCATTGTTAAGCAACACATGACTATATTACATTTTACAAAATATCAGTTCAAAGGTGCTTGCTGGCAGTAATAATGTCCTAATAAACAAAAAGGGGAATGATACTATCTGGAGTTGTTTGCTTAAAACTCAGGATGTGTGTCTTGCTGCCACCACCACACTGAACTTCATAACAAGTCAGTCACAAAGTATTGGGTTGATCCAATAGTAATTGTGGTTATAATTTTAGAGCACTATATTATACAATCTTTTATATTCTATCCAAGGTGATTAAAGTAATCAATTCTTTTTAATTGATACTCCAACTATCTCAGTGTGTCATTCAAAGACCAGATGAGCTTCTATACGTAATGAACAACGACCATTCAGGCTTCTCTTCTCCTTACTACCCCTGGTGATTCATCTCATTATTAGAGAATTACATTCATTAAGAATTCTTCCTCTCCTCCTGAGCACCTGCTCCCAGATAATGCATATGAACCCTATTTGTTGGCTCACTTATCACTCTCAGAATTACCCAGCACAAGAACTCATGACAAAACCTGGCCAGATACACCAAAGAGAAATAATAATTGAATCACAACTAATGGCCCAAACTGAAACAGAATTAATAAGAAAAAAAACAGTAGAACTTGAAGAAAAATTGTAAGCAGTATTTTTATTGAAGCTAGGGAGGAAT